GGTAATGGTTGCAACAGACCTGGAGGTTTAGCTGGTATGTCCTTGGCTTGACGAAAAACCTCACAGGAATCAACATAACGGATGACATCAGCTCAAACCCGGGTCCACCAGAATTCCCATGTGAGTAAATGCAGAGTTTTGTACCAACCAAAATGTCCTGCAGGAGGGGAATCATGGGTCAGATAGAGCACGTTGGTTCAGAGGGGCCCTGGAGGAATGTACAAACATCCACGGTGTAATAGGAGACCCTGGTGGTTGGTAAAGTCTCCGGCAGAGCCCTCTTGAAGTTCCTACAGGCGTTGCTTGGCTGGCTCGAATTTCTTCAGCCAGCGATGAGCGAGTGGTAGTGGCTGCAAAAACTGAAGGGGATAGGATAGGTGTAATCGGAGGGTCTTCAGAGGTTGGAACAGCGTATTCCGGTTTGCCGGACAAGGCATCAGCTTTCCGATTCTGAGTATGCGGGATATAGGTGATACGGAAGTCGAACTGGGAGAAGAAGAGACTCCACTGGCTCTGGCACTGGTTAAGGCGTCGGGCTGTCTGTAAGTGTTCTAGATTCCGGTGGTCCATCAAAACTTGGGCAGGGTGATGAGCCCCTTCGAGGTAATGCCTCCAGACCTCGAAAGCGGTTTTGATGGCCAAGAGTTCCCGTTCCCAGATGGTGTAATTGCATTCTGGGGGTGTGAACTGCCGGGAGTAGAATGCGCAGGACTGCAGTGGCTGTGAGGGGTCTTCCCGCTGGGACAGCATTGCACCCAGGGTGACACTGGAGGCATCCGTCTCTACAGTAAACAGTAGTCGGGGATCCAGGTAACGTAGAATGGGCTTAGTGGTAAAGCAGGTTTTTAATGTTGTGAAGGCATGGTCTGGCTCTGGAATCCAAAGAAATGGCTCTTTGGGCTGGAGGAGGCGGGTCAGCGGCGTGGTTATGTCCGCATAAGATGGTATGAACTGGCGGTAATAATTTGCAAAGCTGGGAAACCGCTGTACATCCTTATGGTTCCGGGGTTTCTGCCAGGTTAGAACCAACTCTTTTTTCTTTGGGTCCATCTGGATCCCTTGGGGAGATACAATGTGCCCTAGAAACTCGACTTCTTGCAAGTTGAATTCACATTTCTCCAGCTTGGCGTAGAGTCGGTGGTCTCGTAACCATTGTAAAACCTGTTGAACGTGTTCCATGTGCCGAGCGGGGTCTCGGAAGTAAATAGAATGTCATCCAGGTAGATGATCACAAAGCGATCAAGCAAGTCCCGAAAGATGACGTTCATGAACCGCTGGAACACTGCTGGAGCATTAGTTAACCCGAAAGGCATGACCAGGTATTCATGCTGGCCATAACGAGTTCCAAAGGCCATCTTCCACTCATCGCCAGCATGGATTCACACCAAATTATAGTCACCACAGAGATCCAACTTGGTGTGAATACGTTCCCCCTCAAGGCAATCCAAAAGTTCGCCGATCAACGGCAGAAGGTAGCAGTCTCTAATGGTGATTTTATTCCTGTTCTTTCTCTAATTTCCATTTTAGAAACTCTAGGGAGTTTTCTGTCCCTGACACACCCTCCTGTTCCCTTGAGCCTTCATATTCCTGGTCCTCTTGGTCTGAAATTTCTCTTTCCTGAGGTAAAGTCTGACTCTCAGCTAGTTCCGTAACTGCCTTCTTTCCTCTCTTGGAATGCATGTCCAACTGTTTTTTATTTTGAATAAGTTGGCAGGTTACTTTCTCACCAATTCAAATAAACAAGCCTCAGTTTAAAAGAACCTCTTTTTTCTTTCCAGAGTTAGACAGATTTAAATTATGTAGCTTTCTTTTGGCAGCTTATGATTGCTACATTGTATCTTTGGGTTTCAAGCCTCGCTGTTCCTTGTGTCTGTTATTTGTTTCTTTCGGCCTCCAGCCACTCAGCTGTTTCAGAAAAACTGTATTTCTCTTCTGTAAGCCTTAGTTATATTCACTGCAACTATTCTTTTGCTTCCACTTTTGATCCCCTCAGTGCTCCCTTTCTCAGAGCTTTGGGGTCTAAAGCTAGCCCTCTTGGTCCTTACACTCTCAGCTTGAGGTAAACTTTTAACTACAGAAATCTCCTCAGAGTCCTTTTCCTGCCTTTGTCTTTCCACACTTAGGAGTCCCTACCAAGCTATTCACACAGAGCTTTAGGGTTCCCTACTCCTTCAATTGGACTATTGACAACCAGGTTTCTTAGATGCAGAGATTTTCTTTTACTTTAGGCTTTCTGGTATTCCATACCTTTGAATCCCAGACTCAGAAAACTTCTCTTTATTTTTGTCTCCTTGAATTTCTTTTTCATTCGTATCCTAATAAATTTCACTTTATTTTGGTTTACTGGATTTCATTCGAATCCCTCCACTGCTCACCACTTTATGTCACATACCCCCAGTTCCCCTGTTTGTTCTTCTACACACCCAGGTTCCCTTTCAGGTGTGACATTTAATTTTCACCCTTTTGCACTGCCACCAGTAGATCTCTTTTATCCACAATGTAAATTATTTTACTCAAACACTAGTTGCCAACAATTGAAAGTTTTATTAAAGTTACAGATGTTCTTTATTTATTTACTCAGAATCACAATCATTGAAATGTCTTCTTTTATTTACTTATTTGCCATTTAATTATTTGTTACTACTCTCACTTCTAACATTGACTATCTAGCTCTTTCTCTAACCTCTGAAATCCTAACTCTAACTCTAACACATCCCTAACTGAAGTCCCTAACTCATATCCCTAACTGATCTTTAACTGTCTTCCATTGTCTTCTTATATTTCCTTGGTTCCGCCCCTTCTGTTCAACCATTAGTTGTTAAATCAGGGTTTCATCGTGATGGACAGGAGTGGTTACTGACCTGTCCGTCACACCACCGCTTGGGTAGAGTGGGCTCGAACTGTGTTGGGGAGAGGAACTTTAGTCAGCTCATAATTCCAGGCGGATGGTAGCCACAATCCATCTTGAGTTGGTCTGAGAAGTAGCTGGAGATCCTCTAGAGGGGCCATGAAAGGTTACTAAGAGCCTTTTGGAGGTACAGAAAGCTGAAGTCTGGTGGATATAGTAAGAGAGGGTGTGTTTGACATCTAGGGAATGTAGTGCCCTTTCCAGTGGTGATGTGGGTTGTGGGAAGAAATGAAGATGAAATTTTAGGCAGAAAGGACAGGTCTGGGTACAGGGTCACTTTGTCCAGGTGAAATTGAAGAAAAGGAGGGTCAATTCGCAGGACCGCAATTTCCCCTGATCTTCTAGCTGATGTAATTGCCAGGAGAAAGGCAGTTTTCAAGGTTAGCAAATGGTCTGAGGCCAAAGGCTCAAAGGGAGGTTTCATAAGTTTTTTGAGGACTAGTTGTAGTGACCATTGAGGTGTGAGCGGCTTATAGTCAGGGCGCATGTTCC